AATCAAAAAGAAAAAGAAGAATAAAATTAACTTAAAGAACAAAAACAAAGGAGCGATGTCAGCTTTCAAAGTGCTGGCTGGATGCTAAGGAGGATGATCATAAATGGTTCAGTGACCTGATAAGTCACATACCCACAACTCCTGTTGACTTCAGAGGACTTTCTCCCAGATGAATAAATGTCTCCTAAGAAAATACTAGAACCTAACCATCAGCACTAATGAGGAAAGTCTGTAAAGATCTCCATGCCATTAGCAAGGCACGTAGGAATATTAACAGCAATGGTGAGAAAAATTATACATCACAGAGGATTTCAGAGGACTTCCATTCTCAGACCATTCTACCCAGTTTCATAGTAGCCCGTTTCAAAGTCTGTAAAATGCAGAGCTTGCTTTTTAGTGCTTAATGGAATGTCTCCGATCTCTGGTAAAACCAATAAAACTATATTTTCACAAACAGAAAGAAGAAGTTAATCCCTAGAGCTTCTGAGATAATAATGAATTTTAAAAGCGTAGTATTATTTATTATTTGTATCACAATAGCAAGTAGAGAAGCCAGACAAATTAGAAGTTGCTTAATACTGGGCAATGAGCAAACATGGCACAAACATAACAGAAATATGCAACCTAAACAGACCAGACAGCCAGAGGGTGAGAGAGCAAACAGAGATCCATGTTAAATAATCACAACTTTCCAAAACCACATGCATGCCCAGAATGAAAACTAGGGGAAGTTACAGAAAATATATTAGAAGTGTAATTACTAACCCTGGTTCTTGCAAGTGTGAAAAACGGTTGACAATGAGTGAAGGTATCAGAAATTTCATTGCAGGCTCACAATGAGTAACTAAATCACTGCAGCTATTTAGCAAAGTTCCTTTCTGATAGGAACAGTAAATTATCTGAGAAAATCCGCCTGGATTTTCACTTAGTGAGCTTCTGTTGTTCAGGGATCTTCTTCTCATTATGCAGAAAAGCTCTGAGCTCCTTTGCCAAGTTCAGGTCTTTACATGTTGAGTGAGAAGTGACTGAGTCAAGAGGACACACATTCTTTCCCATTCACACCACACTTTCTTGGTGAGTAGTAAATCTGCCTCACGCTACTTGGTGAAAGAGCACATCAGCTTCTGTTTCAGGTCTCTGGATCTAATTAAGAAAAAGGCCATAAGGGAGCAGACATGGTGCATCAGTTTCCACATGTACCGTTATCAGGCCATGCTTGTATCCAAAATGCATGCAGATTCAGAGTTTGTTGGGACCTCCAGATGAAACTTCTGCCTCTTCTGAAAAAAGCAAGTTTTTCCCTTACCCAGACGCATTCACAAGGAAGAACCATTTAGAGAAAACACTGGAAGGTGAATATCCCCAGTAGCCTCCTCTTTTAGCATAGGAGAAGACTAGTGAGAAGCTAGTCTTTCTTCTCCACCCTCACCACACCCACTCACTGGTCTGAGCTCCTCTTAAAGCTGGTGGTTGTGACTGGACTCGCCTTCAGCGTTGGCCATGAACAGACCCTTGCAGCCAACTGAATGAGCAGAGCATAACACGTTGCCTCTTGTTAGCTGAGCCACATTAATGGACCGGGACTGATCTCCTGGTTTCTTGCCTGTGGCAACTGCAAAACAAAACACATTTTCCAAGGCTCCTCCTGTGAAGGTACACAGTTGCCACAGGTAAGAAATGCAGGTATGGTCAGCCAATGCATCTCAGTGAATTGCTACCTTAACCACTTGTAATTCCTGGTCTGCACCTTCACTGACTTGTATATAGCTGCACTAGAAATAGAGGAAGCCCATGGTGTTTATGAGTGTTATACCCACACACTGCTATTTAGTCACAGCTAACATGTTGTTTTTATTGCTCATTTTAAAAAGGGAACAACGCATTGTTAAGTTTGGAATTATAAAGTAATTTTTTCCTTTTAAAAAGCAAGGGGTTTTTTGTTTTGTTTTGTTTTTCACAGACACCATCAAAGCCAACAATGATGGATTTCTATTTGTTGTTTGGTATGCTAACTAGCAAGCACTCTGGCCCACAGGGTGGGAAGAATGTCATTTATCATCAAAGGGTCATATAAATATCAAGTTATTTCTGCCTGACCATTTTTTCATGCTCCAGCTTGAGGCCCTGAGGACAGCGGGAGAGTAAAAAATTTTTGAAAGATAAAGTTCTTGCCTAACTTTGGATATGGAAGAAGTAATCAGTAAAAGTAGTCAGTAATATGGGCAAGACTGACACAGGGGAAAGAAATCAGGAGAATGGTCAGTATTTAGTCAAAAGGACTACAGGAGAGATACTTGGAGAGTGGTAAAGACAGGATGACTGTGGTTTTGAGGAACTAACTGTAATAAAACAGAATGCAAAGTGTTGGTCAGAGCACGTTTGTCGAACTCAGTTCAATCTACTGAAGGTTGAATTGCATTTTTTTGTAAGCATGGCTGGTTCTACAGAGTTTGTTCTCACACACAACATGATCCGTACTTTGTCAGCAACTATGGCAGCTGAATAGGTACCACTGCTGCCAGAAGCAGCCTGGCACGTCACTGTCTCCTGACAAGTATTTGGCACGTGCTGTCACAATGTAGATGAATCTCCTGACTCCGTGGCTGGACCTGCTTTGGAGAGCTTGGCTTCTTACAGGTTTATGATCCTGGGATACACAATGTGTTTTTGGGCACTCTAGTGTCTGTTGAGATAAGTGGCAGGGGAGATGCCTGAAACTCTGAAGATGTACCAGAACTATCTAGTGCACGTGACTGTGGATGCGTGCACCTGACACATCTCTGTGGCTTGACAGGAATTGTTGTGGGGAAAAGTTCAAACCGTGTGTTACCACAGGGCCTGATGAAAATGCCAGAGCTCTTTAGAATGAAGTGGTACTCCTAATGTGGACAGTCCTTGATGGGGAATCGTTAATGTGTTAGCAGCTTTGGCCTAAGATTCGTGTGATGGTCCTGTGATTCACCTGCTCCTGCGTGAAATTTGGCCAGTAAAAGCCAGAAGTCCTTACTTACATCGCATGTCTTAAATGCAAAATATTGAAGTGACACGTTGCATGGTGTTCCCCTTCTTGGTTTGTATACTTACTGAACCAGGGTAATGTTTCTGCAGAAGTTTTCATTGTGAATATGCCTACTTGCCACATTTCCAGTAGCTACGTGTTTTTTTGCACAAGCTCAGCAGAATTTCTGTTAGCATGTCTTCTTCGATATTGCTTTGCTCTTTCTCCCTAGAATTTTTCAGGAGTGGAATCCTAAGAAATAGAGCTTGAGAAAGAAAACGAACGTGTGGTTAGACTGACCGGATCTGCACCCAAACGCTGGATTAAGTTTCTGGGTTTACCACACACTATATGTATGACTCGAGGCAAGCTATACTGCCTCTTTATGTTGCAATTTCTTGTCTTCAAAGTGGGGGATAATAATACTTTCTCTGCATCATAGGATTCTTATGAAGTCAAGTCCATTAACAGTAATGAGAAGCTTACACAGAATGGAAGCAACCATCACAGCTGTTCTTTTCAGGCATCAGATAAGAGTGTTGAGCATCTAAACATGTGCAGCTGCAACACCACTGGCAGGGCATGGGGCTGGGACTGGTTTTCAGTGCCCCTGTCTGTGCAAGGGGAGATTAGTGGCTGGGCACCCTGATGCAGACACCCCTCACGCTGTGTCCTTCAGAAGGCAAATTAGACATAACCACATCCAGTACCTCAGTGGGCACAAATAAAGACCTCTTAGAAAAATGTCAAAATCTTGAAACAAGTCTGAAAAAATAATAAAAAACAAGCATGTTGTCAGTTGATGCAGGTCTTATTAATGACAAGAAATCTACACAGTAAGCGTAAATGTAAGGGATTCATACAGACTAAAACCAAACATCACAAGTTTTTTATTTATTTTTTTTTTAATATGCTTGATATCCTTTTCAGACTCTTTCATAACAGCTTGCGGATTTAGGTGTAGACCAGGATATTTTCCACTCTACAGTTGGTCTCTCCAGCCTCTTTCCCTGTGATACCATCCAAATTCAGTTTACTGGCAACTCACTAGCACTGCCGTGTTTTCCATTTTAACCCATGCCGCTGAACCGTGGATGACGTGCAAAACTGGGACAAGCAGGGCGCAGGCGGGATGGAGGAGGGTGGCAGCCTGCCTCTACCTGGAGAACTGCAGCTCGACAGCACCAGGGTGCCACAGGGGAGAGCTGCCAGCTGTACTTTGACACCCAGCAAGGAATGCCTGATCTTGCACATTCACCACATTTTGTGTAAGTCACGCGTGCCACCTTCAGCATTTTTCCCCTTTCTTCTTTTTAAAAGACAGCACGTGGCCCTGTGGAATGGAGAGAGCTCTCTTCAAGAGTCGCAGTGGTGCCATACCTGTTCTGAATCAGTAAATCAGTTATGGGTGTGGAAGACCCACGACGAGCCATCACCTCTCTGCAAGGCCGGGTTCCTACCGCTGCGACTGCCAGGGCCGGTCGCAGGACTGGGGGATTTTACCAACGTGCAGATGGGGTTTGCTGCTGTCACCAGCCGGGGGTCAGAAGCCCCGAGCCCCGTGTCTTTTCCCGGAGGTCCGACCTCACCCAACCCCACCAGCTTTCGTGACCTGCTTTGCGCACCTCCTGAAGGCCCCTGCAATGCCAGCACCAAATTTCGGACAGCCAGCTGCCGCACGGTCAGCCGTTTGCGCTCGCTGCCCCGGGGCGTGCTACCCCCTCAGGGCAGGACGAGCGGCCGAGGAGGTGAGGTGACCCCGCCGGCTTCGGAGGACTCTGGAGCGCCGGCTTCGCCTGGCTCCGGGCCCGGGGGCCACACTCGCGCCGGTGCGAGGCCCCGCGTCCCCCAGGGGTGCGCGGCGGGGCCGCCGGCGGCTCCGCGGCCGGACCCGCGCCCCGGCGGGAGCCGCCGCGGCCGGGCAGGGGGCGCTGCGGCGCCGGCCCCTGACGGCGGTGCGAAAGCGGCGGCGGCGGCGGCGGCGGGGGGAGGAGGAGGAGGAGGAGGAGCGGGTGGCACATCGATAGGGCTGACGGGCAGCGGCAGCCGTCTTCGCCGCCGCCCGGCCTCCTTTGTCCCCTCCCCTCCGCGGCGCGCCCAGCCCAGCCCAGCCCAGCCGGCGGTGCGGCGCGGAGTGGAGCGGGACGGCCTGGGGACTCCCACCCCGCGCCGCCGAGGTCGCCATCTTCACCGCCCCCCCCCGCCCCGACCTCGCCTCGGACCCTGTCGCTTGGGGCTCCCGGCGGCGGGGGGGCCTGCGCCGCGCCCGCTGCATGTGAGCGCCGGGCGGCGGCGGCGGCGGCGGCGGCGGCGGCCTCCTCCGCGGATCTCGCCTGCGTCCTCCTCCGCCCCCAGCGCGGCGGGGAGGGGGCGCGGGGCAGCGGGGGACGGAGGTGCCGGGGCGCGGCGGGCAGACAAAGGAGCGGACGCCGCCGTGGGCAGCGGTGAGTGGCGGGGGCGGGGGCGCGGGGGTCGCCGCACTCGCCGCCCCTCTTGCCCGCCGCGCCCGCTGGGCAGGTACCTGCCGGCGGGCCGGGCTGCGCCGCGGCCGTTGCCCGTCCCGGGGAGGTGCAGGGGCTCGGGCTGGGGGCGGCGGGGCGGGGGCTGCCCCTCCGACGCCACCGGTGCTTCCCGCGGCCGGGCAGGGGCGAGCGAGGCGCCCGGGAGCGGCGAGGGCCGGGGCTGGGCCGGCCCAGCCGGGGCGTTGTGAGGGGAGCCCCGGCCCCGCCGGCGCGGCGGGCGATGCTCAGCGGTAGTCCCGCCTGACGCTCGGACAGAGAGGAGCAAGCGACGGATTTTCTGATGGGCGATTTAAAAAAAAAAAAAAAAAAAAAGATGAAGAGGGGTTGTTTTATTTTAATTCCCCTCTTGGCAAAGCGTTGTGACGGGAGGGCAGGTGCTGCCGTGAGCAGGTGGGTGGGCGGCGGGGCCTGGGCTCGGCCTGTGCCGGGCACTGGGCGTGGTGGCGAGCCGGGGATGCCGCGGCGCCTCCCACCCGTGTCCCTGACCGCCGTGGGGAGCCCCGCACGGCGGCATGAGGGGCAGAAAGCCGCTCTCGGACGGGAGAAAGGCGCGGAGGGGTAGTGGTGGGGCGGCGCTGGGGTATAAAACAGCTATGATTTTGTTGCGCATCCAGAGAGGGAAAGTCGTGTTTAACGCAGTTATTTGAAGTGTGGTGCATGTCTTCTGGGTTAAGCGTTTGGTCTTCAGGCAGTTACCCAGTGTGTGTAACCTTGTGCTCTTACTGAAAATACAAATCTTACTTTCATAGGCCAGGAGAACGTAAGGTCCTGCAGTTTTTAACTCTGAAGCTGGATATGCATTAAACTGTAAGTCTTCTGATTTTGTTTTTGAACTTGGATGGATGAATGGATTAATTATTTCATGTTTGTGAGACAAAAACTTCAGAAGTAATTTAAATTAAACTCTAAGCAGACTTTTCCCGTGCCCATTGCAAATATATCTCTCCTGGACTGTGATGGTTGGTTAAAAAATAGAAAAGTAAAGAAAATCTGTAAAGCCAGGGTGGGAGGGAAGTTGCCTTAAGATCTTTTCGGTGTGGGTTTTTTTTTTTGGTGATAGGCTTTCTTTAATCCTCAAGGGCTGACAGTTGCCTTTTAAGTTTAAATGAGTGTATAGGAAACACCTGTAATACTAGTATGTTTCCTTATCTCAAGTACTTCTGTTAAATATTAGATGGTGCTTTTTCTTCACTCATAAGGAATGTTGAGTCCATTGATTTGCCTAAGTAGTTTGATTGAAAATAGCTCAGTGCAGGTACAGCTAGGTTTCTGAAAGTTGTTTTTTACATTGTTGAAATACACGCGCAATATTGAAAGATGTAATAAAATACTGAATTTCTATTGTGATAGTTTTTTGAAGGGTGAAAGGGGACCATTGTAGGTGAAATTGTACAAAGTGATCAAGCAAGTGATTACAATGACTAATGAACTAAGTAGCAGCTCAAATAAGCAATTAAATAATTCGCTGTATAAGTTTTAGTATGTATATAAATGTAATTGCATGTCAATAGTTGCATCACTGCTCTCTTAAATTTAATTTCTCCCTTTAGCCTGTGTGAGAAACTAGAATCTGGATACAGAAAATTGTTTTGTTAATGGGTAATACTTTCTACATGCTTTCTGCTTTGACAAAAAGCCGGTATCCTTTCCACAGCAGAGAATCATTTATTCTGTGTTCAAGAAACTTCTTGGTGAAGTTTCTGTATATCTAAACCAAAGTTGTATAGATCAGAAATTACAGTCTATAAAACATTATAATGCATTTGTATACCAGAGGAATGAAGAACTCTGAAATTGTTGTTAGGTGTAGCTTGTCCAGAAGCATTACAGATGTGTCATATATTATCTTTGATTTAAAGGCTCTTTCACTGAAAAATAACTGACTGACTTACACTGTCATATAACCAGACAAAACAGATTGTTTAAAAGCTTGCTAGTAATTCTGACCTTATGAGGGTGTCAGAAGTTGTGTGGTAGCTTACACTGCGGTGGTCTGGGAAGCCTTGTGGACATGGTGGCTTGTCATGATAGGGAAAAGACAGTTAGAAATGTTTTGAACATCCCGTTATAGTTTCTGCTGTCCAGGAATTAAGTTCAGTTGATTTAGAAACAAGAAGGGGATAATAGAAATGGAGTGTGTGTTCCAAGTGGCTTCCTAAATATTTTACTGTGACTTTTTTTTACAAAGATATCGAAGCTTTCATTGCAGTGATAAAACATTAACCATAGGGTAGTGTTGAGAAATCAGATCATGTCCTATGGAGGAATTACAGTAAACAAGAAGTGTTAAACATCCCATCTAATATTTTTCCTCAGCAAGAAGTGTAATTGACACTCTTTTACATTTCTAGAAGGAGTAATAGCTTGTGGTGGTGAAATAATGTAATCAGCAGTTGCTGCTACAGTTCATTGTCCACTGGGGAGTGATACTGTGTAACACCTGGTAACTTGAGCAAAGCCTTGTAGAGCAAACTTGCACAAACCCTCTAGATATTTGTGCCAGACCTTTTGACCTTCAAAGGTGGGGTGTGAAGGTGTTTCTTTTTTTGTCTCTTCAGCTAGGATTTCATGCTAAAATTACAATACACTGTTAGAAAATACTTTTTCTTTACACTATTAACATATGAATTACAAGGAAAACATATTTCATTCTGTGCAATATAACTGAGGTGGCAGTTTCACCAAATTCAAGATTTTTTTTCAAACTATTAAGAATAGTGTTGAGACATTTGTTTTGCTTAATGTTATTTATAGACAAACCTTTAGGCAGGAAACATAATGTGGAATTAAATTACTCGATAATTTTTTTTTTTTTTTTTAAAAAAAAAAAAAAGTTCATCCAAGTATTCCCTTGTAAGATGTTTTGTTTGCTTGTTTCATTTTTGGTGACCTTAGCTTGTTGTGGAGTGGCAAGTTATATGTAAGCTTAGCATACCATATTGCTAAAGGAAATCTCTTGCCAGTTTGTTTTACAAACTTTGTCATGGTTCATGTTAGCTCTTTGTGCAGAAACCCACTGGGTTCTGGTTGGTGTCACTGAGAAGTTGTATAGAGTTAAACTATGACTAACATTCACTTACTTTTGAGTGATACTTTGACTATTCAAATTAGCTATCAGCAGCTGAGTTGCAACTCTTGATTACACTTGACAACCTGAGCCCAGGAACTAAATAGCAAGTTATCATCATGTTCATTACTGCAGCACATGTTTTTACTAGATATGGTTCTATCTAATATTAAAGACTGTTACCTTACACAAACACGTGTCTGAATGACCCAGTTATCTTTGGTCACCACCTTGCATGTATACCTCTCTGCGCTCAGAGAAAATGGGTGAAGACTAGTGTGGCCAGTTGTGGAGCCTTGCTATGTCATATTCATTAAAATGTGTTTGCTAGTAACTACCATATCTGTTTAATATTAATGGCTTCTTGTGTCTCCTAATCTTAATATCAACATGTAAAACAAAGAACCGAGAGTTTTGTGAAAGTGTTAGTCACTGTTCTGATACCTTGAAAGTCAGAGAAAAGCTTTCTCATATATGCTGAAGGATTGTGGGGAATTGGCGGCTGTTCCTTCCACAAGTGTAGCTGTTACATGTATGCCTGACTTCTAAGGCAATTTTATCAATTCTTAAAGTATACTCAGTAGGATTAACACGAGGGAGTCTTTTTAGTATTATAGCTGTCTTGCTGTACTCCTGTTTTGTTGAAAGTACTAAAGCTAAGTGTACATGATAATGGCTGCACAACTAAATTTTTTTTTTTTTTTTTTTTTCAATTTTTGAACAGACTAGAGGGAGATTCATTAGAAAACCAGGGACATGGTGTTCCTTCCTGTACCCAAGCCTGGGAGGAAGACAAAGTGGGGAGGGGGGAGGAGGAATGCTTCTGTGAAGGATGCTGATCCTGAGATGGGTGGGTTGGATTCCTTTTTGTTTAAAAAAATGTCAGTGGATCTGAAGAGAGGCTTTTGAGTATTCACATTCACTTAAAGGTTTCAAGATATTTTGTTGAAGCAAGTCTCTCTTGCATGGTAAGTGCCTCTTGTTTTATTGCATGACTGGTGATGATGTCAAGAAATAATGACCAATTTAAGGAACAAGCAACCTGAAACAAATGAAAGTGGGTAAGAGAACAATCAAACATGTTGAAGCAGGGGCTTCATGTAAAAAGCAGTCTGAAGAGGAAGTTTAGCAGTGAGAAAGCTGGCTGTTAGTAACAAAGAGAATGTAGGAAATTTAGGTTGGTGAGTGTCCTACGAGAGGGTCTGTTCTCAGTGACTGTTACATAGCTGGGTAACTCAGCCTGAGGACCCCTCTGGTGTCTTTCTAGTTCAAAGTTTTGTGTGCAGTTAGAAGTGGATGTGTGAGATGCAATTACAAGTCCAAGGGTAATTATTGTTCCTAGAGGAACACAGGTTTCTCTTGCTCGCTTCTCTTCAACTCCAAGAGGAAGAGGATCTCTCTTACCTGTAATGAAGGCACAGTTAAGAGAATGCAGACCTACCTCAGAGCACTCTTCTGTCTTCTTTGTCAGTGTCACATTAGCAGAAGGATTTAGGAGGGAGGTATAAGGAAAGCAATCATCAGCAGGTTTTGCAGGCTTATTCCCAGACACACGACTATGCTGTATTAACTTCCACCTGTGATTTAGTTAGCTTTCTGTCCAATCAGATATGTAATATTTGTCATGAGGTGTCAGTGTCAGAGGGAGAACTGATAACTTCTCTCTGCATATGCAGCAGAGCATCAGCGTGGTACATGGGAGAAAGCAAGCTGCTGACAGTTGCACTGCCTGAAGAGCCAGGAACTGCTGTTCAGCTAGCTTCAAAGTTATGGCTAAGGTATATTCCACAAACAACTGAAATGGGTCTCTGTGGGTTGTGTTCGGTGGATGGCTTGCTTATTTGGCTGATGTTGAAAGTGTGGATCACAGTATAGGCCAGTATTTAGTAATGTCAAATGTCTATTGGGTTGCAGTTACCTGAGCACTTGATCTGATACTGTGGTTGTTAGAAAACTGTCAGCTCAGTGCTTTGCCAAACAGAGTTTGAATCTTCTCCCCACCATACATGAATCATAGCAGAAGTGTCATGGCCCATGATGAGGTTTGTACTGTATAAACCATTCCCTCTACATTGGAGGAGAGGTGCTGGAGGAGAAACTGCAATTCATCTTCAGCATAGTAAAGGAGAAACTTTCATATAAGCAGTAAGGGGCTGCTAATGCTGGGAGAAGGTTACACATGGTGATAAACACTCTGATCCAATAATTTTTCACAGCAAAACAGTTACAGGACTTACAGTTTAGCACTTTAGGCTAGCAAGGATAAAATACTGGAAGTATCTCTAACCATTTAGCCTAAAACAGAGAGCTATTTGTTTTATTGGTATATAAATCACAGTACAAGGGCAGAACAATGCATGAACCAAGTAACTGATTGCAAGCCGCATCATTGTTTGCTGGGTATTTTGTTGTCTTGAGCTTTTTTACAAATTACTGTACAACTCAGCTTTGATTTTTCTGACTGTACACACCTTGAACTTTATCAGTTTATACACAGAGATCAGAAATGTTTTCTGAGGAAGACTTTCTTTCCACAGAACAGAAAGTGTGGTGTCACCAAAGTCTTCCTGGTCAAAATTCCAGTTGCCCTCATGGACAAAATAAGTGTATCTGTCTTTTGAAAGAAGTTGATGATTTTTGTCTTAAATTTAGTGCATTTTCTGTCATAAAATACAGGCATATCTTTGTATGGGCTTGATATGCTTTTCTCTCACCTCCTTTTTGGAAGGGATCTTTTGTC